ACAGAAAAGCATTCACTTGAGTGCGACTCAAAATAAAGCATTCGACTAAGCAGCCGAAGTTTCATATAAAAAATAGAATATCTACATGAATCAGGAGCAAAATGCAAGTCCGGACGCGTCAGGAAGGGAGGAGAGCGGGCAGAAGTTGAGATCCAACAGCTACTACTGAGATCAAGGAGAAAGGCCATGCTCTGCCGTTTGTTTTATTTCGGCCATCGCTGCTACCTCATAGAGATGCAACTGCCTGCCCTGTGTTTTGAACAGATAAGCAACCATGCTGGGCGTCTTGTTGACCATGTGGTCAGCAATGCGCTCGTAGTCCTCTCCGACCTCCGATATGATTTCCACCGCCAGAGCCAACTCTGCCTGCGTCCATTCGGGATCCTTATTGAAAGCGAACACAAAGCACACCTCAACAGGGGGCTCGGAACCTCTCGAATGCCCAACAATCGACGACGCCTTAGCAACATTCAAAGTTAGTGGTGCTCACTAGTAAGTGAACTGACCCATCATGATTCAAGCTCTGGATGATCAAATATTAGTTTCAAAACCAAACGCTACACCTTTGAATAAATTACAAACCTACAAAAGCGATGAGTGTAAAAGGCACAAGCAAACGGAGATTAATGGGCTGCAGGGAAAAGCGGAACACAGTTAACTTACCTAATACTCTTATTGCCCGACCCCTTAAATGTCATCTCGTCTTAAAATCTATGCAAAGAGATTTAAAAAGATTTGATTTCACTAGGTACAAAAGAACTCACGAGAGGAATCTGAGGTGGACGCATATCTTCGATGTTCGAAGTCACTTCCGCCTCCAATTCATTTAAAAACTACAAAAAAAATGAATATGATAAGGCAATAAACAATCCTCTGCTCTAACTTTACATAGGCACACGCGATATCTACCTTTAAATCAACGATTCAAAGCGGCTGCAAGCTTGTAGACTAACCGATTCAGATGGCACTTCCCCCTGGGCTTCTGAACACTCCAATTCAGCCTCCAATTCGTTGTCAGAATTCACTGTAATCGGCACTGAGTTTGGTGAAGCAGTAGATATGGGAGTGGTGGGTCGTGAAGATAGCTCCACCTGACTTGAGGTTTCCGTTTCCATCGTCACTGCCACTACCGCCTCCTGCGATGACGGCTGTGTTAACTGCTGTTCTGCAATGATATTCACCTGTGGAATGAAAGAACGCGACGCCGAGAAGGTAGGCACATTGTCCGAGGCGGTGAGAACGTTTACTGAGACGCGCTTTTTCTGCGTATTACCCCTCCTCAGCCCACCATTGCTGGTAAAAAAGAGTTCTGAGTAGGGAAGCAACTTAACTTTTCTACTCCCCTTTCCATTTCGGCCCCTATTTTAAAATAAAAATATACAGTCTTACGGAGCCAACGACCGCAACCGCACCGAACCTAACTCGGGGCGTACCTGGCCGATTCTCGAGTTCCTACAAGTCCGATTCGTGGATTAAAACCGCGCATCACTTCGCTTTCATCATCCAGTATGGGTGAGGCTCTCTCAGAACCAGACTGTGGACCTTTTGCTACCGCTTTACTCATTGCCGCCAGCTCGGCTTCGATTCGAGCCTGCACTTTCGAAGTGCACGTCCGAACCGAAGCACCAGTGGGAATACCGTTCTTATTAACCAATTTTCCTAGGTAATCAATCCGTACTATATCATTTTCCGAGGAGGAGGAAGAATAGAAGGCCTCATCCCCGTCTCCAATGGCACCGTTATCGTTGATCGGCCGTTTACGATTTCGTAAACGCGACGTGGATGCAGTTCTGCCGGTTTTGGTCAGTTCACCAGAATTGGCATTGGGAGAGACGCGAGGTGTCCTTGTTGAACTTGAGGAGCTCGTTTCCATGTTACCATTTAAACTGTCAATATAACGCGCGATAGCATTTTCGAGAGGATCATCAGCGTTGAAGAGACTGCTCTGAGGCTGTAGACACAGATAAAAAGCGTTGATTCTGTGTTCCTCCGGAGAAAATGGTTGTTCGAGCGGTGAGAGAACCAACTTACCCCTTTTTCTTTAGGATGAATAAGTGAAGAGAGTGTGATTATATCTTCGATATCCTGAAGGCGAGCAGAACTGTTGATAAATCCATTAACATGTAATCCAGCCCACTGAGGTGCGTGTAAAGTTAACTCGTAAAGGGTTTGCTGATTACGCTTATTGAGGTAGTAGAAGAGCACCAGCTCCGTGGTGCGACGATTGGGAAACAATTCTTTAACTTTAAAGAAATTTTTGCAGTGGAAGTCCATTGCTGCGAAGAAAATTCGCCGCTCATTGTGAGTCCAATCATAGCGGATAGGGCTAAAATTCCCCAAATCCTCGGTTGCCAAATTAAAGTCAAATTTCTTCCATGTTAACAAAGCCAAAGCCTGCTCCTCTGAGTATCTATGATTAAAAGATAGCAAGACCCATTATGAGGTTACTATGCCGATAAATGAAAGGGTAGATGGAAATCTACTAACCCATGTTTTTCCGTGGCATGGTTGATGTAATCTTCGACTTGTTTATCCTTTGAGCTAGGAAGTGGTTTCCAGTAGAGTACCTCGAGCGTCCGACTAAACGAAGGACTCCTTGGTGTCCCAATCCCGAAACTCGGAATTGTAGCCTGATATTCAGAGCCTACTCGAATAACAGCATCTGAAAAAATTCAAGCTAGAAAATGAACAAGCCAAAGAAGCCGTGAACAAAGCAAACACCATTCTTTCGCATCAATTCACGGATAGCTAGACAGACGTAATTTGTAATTAATAAGTAATACTACTCATCCAGAATCAACTTCACTTACTTCGAGATGCCATCTTTCAAATGAATAAAAAAGGAAAAACTAACCACAAGTATCAAGTTGCGCTCCTATGGGGCATGAAATACCTGTGAAATTGTTCTGACTTGTGTCAAGTTCTTCATCCTCAAGTCGACTCCTAGACAGCATTAGTCCCAAGTTAAACGCAGACAAAACGACACAAACTGCAGTCTTGTAGATCCAATAAAGGGAAAATGAAGATCTCCAATGTGGTGCACTCAAACAAGCAAAAAATGAAATTGCAAAAAACAAAGACTAATAATTTAATAGACAGCTTTAAAATAGACATTAATTTTTGTGTGAAAATTTTGCATTGAACATTGTATAACCAAGCAGCATAAGGGACCATCAAATAGAGCGGAATTTACTACCCACCTTTACGGAACAAAAACCGCCTGATAAGCGCAACGCAAGGTTGTTTGAGTAAACCTTTTGAGTGGTACGTATTTTCATTAAACATGGGTTTCGTCAGAGCAGTAACCATTTGCTCTAGGCGGAGTGATGTACAGTGGACTCCCGTTCTCTTGGTCATTGAACCCGCTTAATTATATTGCCAATCGTTAATGCTCCTACTAAGCTAATTTGCTCATCCCAAAAAAGTATAGACTTGGAGGGAAAAAATAAGGGCTGAATCTTCTGCAAGGTTTTCTCAGTGATCAGACAAGGTGTACAAAAATTACGGTTGCGGTTATAGCAGATGAACGACTCCGCTAAACAGGGAGGAAAGCTTACTATTTGGCTTGACTATGCATTGTTAACATACAATATGACCTAAGCCCATAGTTGTAATGCGTAGACTGTTTCCTTAACTCCCGGTCTTGGTAAACGAGCTAATTGCGTGTTTTGCCATTGTACCTTCCTCGTGTAGACACTCCAGGTCAAGTTAGCAGCCCCAAACCATTCTGTGCGTCAACATTACACTTTTTAAATGAGCATTGTATTTTATTTTTCACTCGAGAAGGGCTTGGTGCACAAAGCTGATGGCAGCGGAAGTGTACATAAACTTTAAGGGCATCTACCATTATTTCTACCTCCGAGTAATGGGCCCTAGCAATGAGAAGAAGTTCATATTCTGCGAATGACAGCATCCGTGGCAATTCATAACAAAAGGGCTAAAATTTGATGTGCACCTTTGACAGCTACCGCAGCCTCGTGGTTTCCATATGAGCCACTAACAACGGAAACTATGACGGACATAAATAACCTGGGATAGGTCGTTGCGGAGCATTCTACCGTTTCTGCGTTAAGATCAGATGTGTTGACTCCAAACTATTCCTCTATATCTTTACTGGCTCTGTAGATCCCTTATTGGTATAGCTGGGCAGTACTGAAGTGAAGAAAGGTAGCATGAATGAACAGGTCTAGGCTCTTCCCCCATGGATCTGTGTTTTATTCCATTTTTTGTTACAGGACTCTGCCTTTAGGCCAGCTATCCTATGACTAGCTAATGACACGCGTAATGGCCAACACATTCCTTTGTCACCGACTCCAATTCCCATGCAAGATGAAACTCCAGATCCAGTAGAATTACCAAGAGTGCGGTCAAGTATCTTCAAAATTGCATGGAAATTTGTCTACTGAATTGGTTGCCTCGTAAGTGCATTTTGTGAAACAATGATTGCTTTGCGATGGCTGACCTGGGTGGTTGAACGCAGGAATCAATGTGGGTCTGTATATTGCATTGATTGCTTGTAAAACTCTTGGTTTTGGTAAAGGGATACTTGATGTCATAGATATTGTACCTTTGTTAGGTGTGCAGTTTCCTGGCCATCCCAGTAGCTAAGCCCTACTGCATACCGAATATCTACATCCTGTCCTGATGTGGCAGCTTCTAAAGTCTTCGGGACGTCTTGAAGCGCTGCATCAGCATAGCCCAGAAGCCGGCCTGCTTGGAAGGAGAGTGACCCATTGCCAAAACTGAGTGTTTACTTAACAATTGATGTATATCAGTTACAGAAATTCCAGATATATCCAAGTTAAATGCTCCGAATTTCCAGTCGAGTTTTGATTCTTCTCTATTACTGAGGAAACCTTTTAACATTTTGTGCGTTGTGTAATACGGCGGTTGCTTAACCCCCAGTTTTGGTAAAGGGCTACTTTATCTTGGCCACTGTACCTCGCCGAGTGAACCTACATTTAGGCCAAGCCAGTATTCAAAATACTTTTCATGTGTCGAATATATATATATATTCAGTCCTAGTAGTTTGTCATTGTCGTCCTCAGGAATGTCTCAAGACACTAAAATTGATTCTAAAATGGATCCGTAAAGGCAAAATAACTGATCTTAGTAGGGTTTTAGGGAAAACTTAAGGTTTAAAGTGCTTAAACGGAGTTCACAATTGAAATTGATATTGAAGTTCATTTAGCTATAACCTGTTTACCTTTCCTCCTTTCCACTTCAGCTATTATACCTTTAGAGCAGGCGGACAGTTTAAGGGAGGGCAGCTTTGGCTTATAAAATGCTGTGAATGTGTATAGGGAACCAAGGTTATACGACGACACTATTCATTTCTTCCCCAAAGGGTCGACATTGACTGCTTAGTTGCGAAATATGTTTACGCTGTTCGCTTTTCACCTAGAAGCATTCAAAAACACTTATACAACTGCGCCAGACTATCTGGTGATTCCGGCTTCCTCACGTCACATATCTGCTCCTCGTCATGACTTTCAAGCTACCTGAGTACCCCTCTTCCTCACTCTAATGTATTTTGTGCTATACACTATGCCTTGTGAGGCCTTCGAGGAGATGCTTTGCGTGACACAAATATTGGGATAGTTGATCATTTGACGTTTACAAGTATTGCCTGGTGGCTACTTCGATGGCCAGACTTACTTTTTGATAGACTTATTCGTTTTAAGGCTTACTAATGATATGGAAAAGTCTTCACTAATTAAATTGCTCTTTGGTAGGATGGGGCTCAAGGCAGATAGCTTAAAACAGACTTGTCAAAATGCTTTCGCATATTATCGCAACAGCTTTACCTTCACTTTAGTTTCTAAACATCCTTTGTTGAATTTGTTTTTTTTGCAGATGATATCTTAATTTGCTAATTATAGTTATTTCTGTCTCCGCAGCCAATTATTCTGGATTCGCGACAGATGTTTCTACCAGCTTTGCCTCTCAACTTATATTATCATATACACTTTTTACGTTTCATAATTCGGTTTTTGCTATCTATATTCTAGTTACTCAAACCTGGCAAATTGTTTGGCAACGTCGATTTAAAGTTGATAATAGTGATTGCACTATTTAAAATTTCCTCATGTCCCCTTCAGATAAAAACAACTTTGAAGCTCTAGACAAGACTGAGAACGAGCAAAACCTTACCTCTAATGACGATTTCAACTCACAGCTTGACAGTATTATTAACTGTAGTAACGATGTTGAATCATCTCCTATTTCCAACGGGGCTGCTAACAATTCCAGTGTTCTACGCGACTGTGTAGTCGATCAAGGGTCCAGTCATGAGACTCCAGAAACCGAAGATTGTAGGGAGGACAATGAAGAAGAGCTTACTGTTTTGCATCCCGATCATGTGGATTATTATTTTCTGCTTATTCCGTCTCTTGCAGCCACTAATGAAACGCTTTCAAGAGGCTCTCAAAAAGATGCTAAAGGAACACATTTCAAAAGCTGCTATTGAGCTTCGTGAAAAGGTACTTGCTGTGATGCTGACTTTGTGGTAAATAGACGGAAGAACTGAAACGCGTCAAAAGCATTCACCTGGAATTGGGCTCCGAGTTGTACAATGCTCAACAAGAACTTTCTAAGTAGATTGTTTTGTTTGCTCTTGCTCATATTTTGCTCTTAGATTTCAATCTCAATTACAAAAGAAGCATGAGGAAAATTTGGAACGACAGGCACGGCGTGTGAAAATGGACGAACAATTAACAGTGCTGCACAAACAATTTAAAAAGACCCAAATGGATTATAATTTGGAGTACAAAAAGATGATTGCGATGCGAGAGGAGGTTGACAATCTGGCGTTGCGTCTTTTCTACTTGAACAATGCCAAACTCGAAGTGAAGAGTGATATCAATATCATGCAGAGAGCGGCTGAAAAGGCGTCAACGGAATTATCAAGGGTAATTCCATCTAAATCTGGCTTGAATACATCCCCCTTCCCCAAATATAGGCAGAAGAGGAAAAACTTCATCAAGATATGGTGGCACATCGAATGCAGCGAACTGTTGACCAGCTGACCGAGGACTGTGAGCTGCTAAAAGAACAGCTAGTTGCAGCTGAGGAGGAGTTAAGATCCGGTGAAAGTATGTTAAAAGACATGGAGAGTCAGGTGTTTGGTATTAAAACTGATCGGAAGCGACTCATGGTTCACTGGACAACCAGTTTGATTGGTCTTCAGCGCAGGAATGAGGCCTACGCCGAGCTCATGAAGGACTTTGAGTAAGCTAGTTCCTTCACTTTCCGTTAATGCCTCTCTCTCTTTGTGGTTGTACTGTTGGACTACTTTGTACCCAAGGAAGAAGCAAGATGAGCTGACGAAGGTAACCTCCGAGACGGAGGGCATCAAAAGGGATATCACGGCCGAGCAGGAAAAGCATGAGCGCTTGACACTGCAGTTACATCGCACTCAAGGAGACATTGAGAGCGCGAAAAAAGAACTGGAGCGTCTCCAGGCGAGCCACGAGGAGATGCGCAAGGAGTATGCACAGACGCAGCGTATTCTTAGCGAGTCGGAGCGAAATCTTGAAAATGCGAATTCGGTGAGTCAGAAGATTGATCATTTACTCTAGTCGACTTCGACATACGTGGAATTTGATTATTTTTAATCCTTGTATGTTCACTTTCCGTAGAAAATTAGTTCCTATTACAGTAGACTTTTCAGCTTTCCCTCATTTAGCGTGCTGAGAGAATTTGTACTGAAATCAGGGATTTTCGACCTTTATTG